CCCATGAACCCCTAAACCCTGAACCCATCGCTGAGCCCATTGCGTTGAAGCTCAGATTATGGGCGAGCTGGTCGAGCTGGCGGGTCCGCAGGCTGTGGATTCGGGTAGTTCTCTAAATTAGGGTTTAGGGTTTAGGCTTATAGGCCCCCAATAATGTACGGCACTTTTACAATAACGACCCCAAAAGGGACCCCAATATCAAAAACCACCCATGTCTTGCCTGCCCCAGTAGCAAAAGGAAGTTCGAGGGTAAGTTGGTAAGTCTAATCCAGGATCTCCCGGGGTTTAGGGCTTCACTCCTAAATTTTAGGGGCTTTAGGGTCTTCTAACCGAGGATCCCCCAGCAAACCTAGGAATGGAAAAAAGGCTCGTTGCTTCGGTCTTTTTTCGTAGGTTTTTAGGCGGAACTCATGGCCAGAACGATGTGAAAAAAGGGCTTTAAGGGGAGACCTGGAAGTCGAATGAAACAAAGAGCCGGGCTAACACAGAGGGCATTGAAAAGTAGACTTGGGTTTGGGGGGTAGATTAAACTGTAGTTATAATTAGGAACCCCTAAACCCTAAACCCTAAACCCTAAACCCTAAGATCGTGCTGGTACTTATTTAGTCGCCTATGTTCTGCCGAAGCGGTTTTGGCTCAAGGGCCTGGGGCCTGAAAAAAAAAAACGAAGAGCCTAAAGGGTTTAGGGTTTAGGGTTTAGGGTTTAGGGTTTAGGCTGCCAAGGTTCGAAGGTCTCGAACGGTGCGGTGCGAGATGTAGCCGGGCAGTACCAAACCCGATTCTCCGGTTCATCTATTCAGCCCACAGCTCCCACCCAGGCACAGCACCGGCCCTAAACCCTAAACCCTAAACCCTAAACCCTAAACCCTAAACCGTTGCGATGGCATCTTCTAGGTTTGCGATTGCTCGCGCACAAAGGATTCGACGCCAGCTGTATTGCAAACAGCTTTCCAGCCGCCCGTGTCCAGATGCAACGCTCTAAGGTAAAGGTGCCTTATTAATTAGAGCAGGATTCTGGGTCTGCAATAGTAGAGTTGGGTCAAGGAACCCTAAAGAAAAATATTTCAAACTATTAATTCAGGAATCTATAGTAGACCCTCAGCTCCAAACCCGACGCCCGAAGCATCTGACCTGAACCTAGGGGTCTAAGCCTCCAAGGCTGAAAGCTAGCGGTGGTGGCGGTGGTGATGCTGAATCCCATACCGCGGTGTCACCGAAATATTCCGAAATACCCCCACAAAAAACACCACTACCAACTGCGTCTGAAACCTCCCATGAACTTCGAGTGTTGAGACCTCGGTGTCCGACTACGCAAGACGTTTTTGCACAAAAAAATCCTTGACGGGTACTGTAGGGGCCTTCATAGGCTAGATTTGTCAGGGCTTATGGTTTAGGACTCCTTTATACTATGAATGTAACGAAGAAGCCTAAGGGATGCGGGAACAAAAATGGCACTATTTATGACTGAAGGCTTTAGGGCTTGGGGCTTAGGATCTAGGGACCCTACACCCTTAACCCGGAACCCCTATACCCTAAATAGGAATCCTGTACCCTAAATCCTAAATCCTAAACCCTAAACCCTAAATCCTAAACCCTAAACCCTAAATCCTAAACCCTAAACTCTAAACCCTAAACCCAAAGTCTAGGGGTTTGCGTTCTGTGCGAAGAACGAGAAGCCCAAGGTCGCAAAACCCTCCGGCCCGAAACCAAACCATCGGCCCTCAACCCTACACCTCCACAGAACCTAGGGTTTAGGGTTTAGGGTTTAGGGCTTAGGGGACTCAACCCCAAACCTCAACAGAACCTAGGGTTTAGGGTTTAGGGTTTAGGGCTTAGGGCTTAGGGCTTAGGGGACTCAACCCAAAACCTCAACAGAACCTAGGGTTAGGGTTCTTTTTTTTATCACCTCTTTTCCTTCGCCTGATAAGGGTTCCGGAATACCATGGTTGAGGCAGGGGACAGGAGCCTGGGCACATACGATGGGGATTCGACCACTCAACACCACATACTTGGGTACTCCCATACCCCAGGCTCCGGGTTAGGGTTCAGGGCTTAGGGTTTGGGGCAGAACCCTTATTCAGACCTGTACCGGAACCCTCAACAACCACAAAGATCAAATGCTGCCAACTGGCGCTAGAGACTTGCAATCACAGGGCTCAACGAATCTCGTAGCCCTACACCCACATGGGAGTTTCCGAAAATAAGGGGCACCTTGTTTTGGGGTCCTTATAATAAGGATCCTGCCATTCAGGGTACTATATTAGGGTCCCTACTGTCGGAAACCCCCAAATCGATTGCTGTAGAAGCCCTATGGAGCCCTTGATTATCGACCCGGAAACCGTAAAGAAGACCCCCTTCTTCCTCCTTCAGCCCGTAAAACCTAAACCCTAAACCCGAATCCTGTAACTCTGCCAAGCCCGACTCCCACTTTTGAACAGAAGGCCTGGGGGAAGATGTTGCTCATGGACTCAGCCATTGGAGCGATAACGAACTCGATGAATCCCACCTCCACTCTCTCAAAGGACGACGCTCACCATGAATCAGAGCACGGTTTTGCGGGGTCTACTATGGTTCATGACATTTACAACAAGAAACCGTAAGGCATAGTATTGCTAAGTATATGAGCTCCTATCTATTGCCTTGGTGCTGAGGCTCATTCTTAGGCCTTACAAGCCTGGCTGCTCTGCGCTGATCAAAGATTTGCTGTGGGATTCAACTCTTAACCCCAAAACCGCTCCAGCGGGGCTTGCACATGCTACAAAACTTGACAAGGTCTTATCCTGGACCATAACCCAAACCTCTCGACCCTCCAGCCTCCGATGCTGATTTCCGAAATTGAAGGATCCTTTCCGAGCTACCGAAGACTTACCCCTTCCAGCAACCCCAAGGACAGGAAAAGGCTTACGGCTTAGACTTAGGCTTAGGGTTGAGGCCAAGCCTTCACTCATGCTCAGAACCCAGGCAACATGGATACTTCACGTCATCATGACTTGGGGTCTGCGATGTAGGCGCCTCACTATTCCATACCTCACAACATTCAACCCTAAACCGCAAACCCTAAAAGTGGCTTTCAAGGCCTGTGAATTCGGCCGGTTCACTTTGTCTCTGTCCTTGGTGGAATCGAGGTTTTGTGGTTCAAGTTGTAGGGTTTAGGGTTGTGTGTTTAGGGATTAGGGGTTCAGGGTTTAGGGTTGTGTGTGGGCTTGGGGTTCTATGTGAGGTAGCTTTGCAAAGCGTCCTTAACAAGAGAGCACCGGAACAACTCAAACACATAAGGCGCCTCTGTTTGGGGTATAAGGATCCCTGTGCAGAAAGTCGCTGTAGTGTGTGTGGCCGTAGATTATGGTAGTAGTCGCCGTCATCGTCGGGGTCGAAACAACAACAGCAGCAATAGTAGAAGTAGTCGTAGTAGTGTAGTAGTAGTAGTAGTAGTAGTAGTAGTAGTTGTTGTTGTTGTTGTTGTAGTAGTAGTTGTAGTAGTAGCAGAAGTAGCAGAAGTAGCAGCAGTAGAGGAGTGTAGTACTAGTAGTAGTAGTCGTAGTAGTAGTAGTAGTAGTAGTAGTAGTAGTAGTAGCAGTCGCAGTCGCAGTGGCAGCAGTAGTAGTAGTAGTAGTAGTAGTAGTAGGACTATAGTACGAGTAATCAGAAAGGTGATTTCAGACAAACTTACATCTAAGATCCTTATATTGCGTTGTGGGCCTTCTGCTTCGTACTAAGAGGAACAGCGGACGTGCAAGTTCAGCTATGAGTAAGGTAGGTGAAGTAAAATGATAGTTTAACTTCCTACAACCTCAAGTACGTGTTTGGCACCTGCTCAAGCTACCTCATACTACAGAAACCGCATACAAAATGTTACAATGTCCCTATGTATTACACATAGTTACCCAACCGACACACATCCCCAAACCCTAAGCCGCTGAAGAACCGGGCCTTTAACATCCCCGAATTCAATCGCATCCAAGCGTCATTGAGCATCTGGACGGGGATGCCTTTCTCTTTCTCCATGTCACCCTGATTCCGACATGAGGTAGGTTCGTCTCTTGATGGGATATGAGAGCGACATTGGGTGTTATAATAGAGATACTGGTAACAACCACAACCCTTGTCGCAGCCTAATATTGTGCATATTACTTCTCCCTAACCTAAACCCTAAACCCCTAAACCCTAAACCCCTAAACCCCTAAACCCCTAAACCCCTAAACCCCTAAACCCTAAACCCTGCAAATAGGTACTGACGCCTTGTGGTGCTTTAAGAGATCCCTTCCGCAACCACGAAAGGCCCTGAACCTTGAGAAGCTTCCCCTTCCTGGGGTTTAGGGTTTAGGGTTTAGGGTTTAGGGTTTAGGGTTTAGGGGTTTAGGGTTTAGGGTTTAGGGTTTGGGGTTTAGGGTTTAGGGTTTCCTTCTTCGGTTGAGGCTGCTGCCCAAAGTAGATGCTATAAGGGGCCTTAATAATTCGAATAGGGTTTTAGGGCCCGTTAAAATGTAGTCTATATACATATATATATATATATATATATTTATATAACACATAATAATAATAACAATAATAATAAGAGTAATAATAAAATAATAATAATAATGATAATAGTAATAATAAGGAACCCCGAAAATAGTATAGGTAATTAATCATTGAGGCCACAATAGTAGCTACAGCTACAGGCCGGAAATCAGAACAACCACCTTAAGGAGCGAAGAGGCATGGGAATCTCAGAAGATAAGGGCCCGCAATACAATGTAGTGACCCTTGATGGCCGGATCCTGAGTAGGGCGACTCAAAGCAAGACCCCTACAGTTTGGAGTTCACTAAACCCTAAACCCTAAACCCTAAACCCCTAAACCCTAAACCCTAAACCCTAAACCCTGGTCCTATGCGGCTCCTGAGCTCCACAAATGTGCCTGGGCGAAAAACTCATCCAAGCAAAGATGGGCCAGCTGGTAACAGATGTCCCATGGCCTGGTTTAGGGTTTAGGGTTTAGGGTTTAGGGTTTAGGGTTTAGGGTTCACGCAGCTTGAGGCTTTCTGTGCCCTAAACTCTAAACTTTAAACTAGGTGGTGATTGCCACTTAGGGCTCAAGAATCAGACTGGGGTGCGAGAGCCTTATACTAAAATGTATGTATAGGGAACCCAAGCCAGAATGTCGTCCTTCGAGCTCTTGGCGACCCTATGCAGGTTGTGGCTTAGGCCTTTAGTGTAGTGACGTCTCTCGGAGTGAAAAGGAGCCGCCGTGATTGCAACTCCTGAACAAACAACATTGCGCATACCTCCGCTGGTTTCTGTAAGACGGTCTGTGTGACGGCATGCAAAACAATGCAGCATATTGGCGAAGGAAAAGACAACACCGAAGCCCTAAACTCTGAACTCTGTGTTTTTCACCCCTGCAAATCCTTAAGCCCTGAACCCTAGGACTCCAAACCAAGCGCTTAGACCCTATTTCCAACAACGAAACTTCCCTTCCCAATACTCAAGGTTACTCTTCCAGGCAGTACCAGCATCAAAATATAAGAGCCCTGGAAGTCAAAAGGCTGGGTCTTGGAACATGAATCATAAAACCTGAGAACGATCTCAATCAAAACGGTTTTAGAGCCGTGTAGAACCTCTGTTGAAACTCCGAAATAAGCCCCTATGACGCCCTCATAAGAACTATAATATAATTCCTTGAAAAAATACACCGAGCCCCAAACCTAAAGTGGAAGCCGGAAAGCTGGAATGCGCCCACAGGAGCAAAGTGGCCCCAAGCCACAGGTTCCAACCATAATCAGAGTTGGAACATGGTCCGAACCACCCCAAAGGTAAAGTTGGAACCTGGCGTCCCAACCCCAAAGCTAGACTGATGCTACATCGCAATGGGGGAAAGCTTTTCGACCCTCCTGAACCCGTCTGGTATATACTTGGGGGAAAGCATAAGCGCTATGTCAACACTAAACCCCGAAGAAACCGAAACCCTAAACCCTTAAACCCTCTAAACCCTGAACCCTACAAACCCTAAAAGCCCTATAAACCCTAAACCCTCCGGCTTTGCCAGACTGGGCCCGGGGCTTCATGGGATTCCCGATATCTGCGCAGTGCAGGAGGGCGTTCCTGGCAGAGAGTTGCAGGTTCCCTCAGTTTGGGGCTTCTAGGGTTTAGGATTCTAGGGTTCAGGGTTTAAGGTTTGAGTGCTTTAGGTGTTTTTAGGTATGGGGCTTAGGGGTTTAGGGCTTATAGTGAACCCCAAAAACTTGAAAACCGGATTAAGGACAAATGGTGCTGAGATTCCGTATACATAACTCTTAACGTTTCAGGCTATTGGGTTTCCAACTTTTGGGCCTCCACTGTAGGGTTTGGGGTTTAGGGTTTAGGCAGGAAGTTCTGAGTGAGTTCAAGAGGGATTCCACCATTCTACTCGATGTCTATACGGGTTCTACATGGGTCCTGTGAGGATTAGCGCTCGGAGGGCCTGTTCGGCTTTTGAAGTTTGGGGTCCCTGGTCTAAACCCTAAACCCTAAACCCCAAACCCCTAAACCCTAGACCCTAAACCCTAAACCCTGAACCCTAAATCCTAAAGCCGATCGGTCCGAGAATTGAATCGGGCTTGCTGCTCGCAACCGAAAAGCCTCCCAGCAACACACGACGTCCTTAGGGTTGAGGGTTTAGGATTTAGGGTTTAGCTTACTTCCCCAATAAGCCAGGGAAATCAAAGGCTAAATTATAAGAACCCAGAATGTTTAAAGGTTGGGTATTGGGGGAAGTCAAGGTTTCTGATGCAAAGCTCAGGCCGACGACCAAAGCCCCGGGTCGGGGTTCCGCTTCCAACCCTCATAAGAAACCGGTTTAGGGTTTAGGGTTTAGAGACCCCCAAGCCTTCCACAACCCCGCTAGGCAACCCTACACCCCTGAGAAACCGAGCTAAAGCCCTAAAGTGCCCTAAGCCAAAAGGCCTAAGCCTCAAACCCTTGAAACCCTACAGGCTCAACCCTGAACCCCACAGCCGCAAAGCCCTGAACCTTCAAAGGATTGGAGACCGCACCGACCTGCTTGCTACTGCAAGCAGCTTCAGGCCACAATGTGGACACAATTGTCAAATCTCTTGCGGTCATATTCGGATAAGATAAGAATGATCAAAATAATCAGTCAAAGTACATGATGATTCCAAAAATCTCAAAGTAGCTGATGATCCTAAGATCTCAAAGTAGATGATGATTCCTAAGATCTCAAAGTAGATGATGATTCCTAAGATCTCAAAGTAGATGATGATTCCGAAGATCTCAAAGTAGATGATGATTCCTAAGATCGAGCCCTCTGTTCTCCTTTAAGGGAGCCCTTAAAGTTGCCACCCCCTCGGTCGAGTGGCAGGATGGTCTGCAGGGTGCTTGACGAGCTGTGGACCTCATCGAGTCCATGGTGAGGATTCCTTTAAACGAACCCCTTCTTTCCCTAAGCCCTAAGCCCTAAACGCAAACCTCCTAAACCCTAAAGCCTAAAGTCTAAAACCTACACCCTAAACCCTAAGCCCTAAGCCCTAAACCCTAAACCCCTAAACCCTAAACCCTAAACTCTAAACCCTATAGCCTTATAGTACCTCTACAGGAACATTTAGAGGCAACCCCTTATAGCAGCCCCTTAGAAGACCCCTAAAAGGAAGCCCGCAGAGGAACCCTGATAAGGGTGGGTTTAGGGTTTAGGGTTTACGGTTCAGGGTTTAAAAGGGTTTAGGGTTTAGGGTTTATTTATAAGGGTTTAGGGTTTAGGGTTTATAAGGGTTTAGGGTTTAGGGTTTATAAGGGATTTAGGGTTTATAAGGGTTTACGGGATTAGGGTGTAGGTTTAAGGGTTTAGGGTTTAGGGGTTTGGGGGTTTAGGCTTTAGGGTTTAGGGTCTAGGGGTTTAGGGGTTTGGGGGTTTAGGGTTCAGGGCTTAGGGGTTCAGGGTTGAGGGTCCGACATTGAGGTTGCAGGCGTGGAGCTGCCCAGGCCCAGATTTTGACTGCTGCGCTTTTTTAAATGAGGGCTTCACGGCTTTAGGGTTTAGGGTTGAGGGCTTCCTGGCTTTAGGTAGGGTTGAGGGCTTCATGGCTTTAGGGTTTAGGGTTGAGGGCTTCATGGCTTTAGGGTTTAGGGTTCAGGGCTTCACGGCTTTAGGGTTTAGGGTTCAGGGCTTCACGGCTTTAGGGTTTAGGGTTGAGGGCTTCATGGCTTTAGGGTTTAGCCATGGCTTTAGGGTTTAGGGTTGAGGGCTTGATGGCTTTAGGGTTTAGGGCGTCAGCGCTTTAGTTTTTGCGTGAAGAGCTTGTTCCTAGCAGCTGCTAGGATCAACAGCCCAAACTAGCAACCCTTACACGGTACCAAGCCTTCACCAACAGTAGTCCCCGTGACATAGTACATCATACACCTAATCTTCCTTCTAGTCAGGGTAGACCGTCAGGACCCTACCCTAAACCCTAAACCGTCCTAGATTCTAGACTTGAAGGCGCAAGCCCCAAACCATAGGGTTTAGGGTTTAGGGTTTAAAACTTATAAGTTTAGGATTTAGGGTTTAGAGTTTACGGTTTAGGATTTAGGGTTTAGGGTTTACGGTTTAGGATTTAGGGTTTAGGGGTGTAGACCTTCCACCCCAAAGTGCCCCAAGGGTCAGGGCCCCCAGCCACACCGTCCGGTTTGAGCGCATCCAACGCATCGGAGTTCATCTGATAGAGCAAGGACAGCTCCTGCAGAGCAGGGCTTGGGAGTCTCGGGAGGGTTTAGGGTTTAGGGTTTAGGGCTTAGGGTTTAGGGTTTAGGGTTTAGGGTTTAGGGTTTAGGGTTTAGGGTACTCCAAATGACCAAGACCTAATCTAGGGGCCTTAAGAATTAGAAGAGGGTTGTGGGGGCCCATTGTACTATAAATATAATAAGGAACCCTCAAAACCCCATATTCTAATTATTGAGGCCCCTAGAATACTTTTTGCATCTGAGCTTCCGTGAAAGCCTCGGCTTCTTCAATCCAGATGCGGGAATTTCTGTTCGGGATTGGGGGTGCAGTCGCTCTGGCAAGGCGATGCAAGCTGAAGCTCCGGGACTACGTAGGAGATGTCGCGTTTCGGGTAACCCTAAACCCTAAACCCCAAACCCGGTAATGCCGCTGGCGTTACGCATTAAGGTTAAGGTCTGACTGACATCGGGTTCACGCTTAGGGTCACGGCAATGAAACGAAAATGCAAGGGCGATAGAGCTACAACGTCTGCTCTTAGTGATGCTACGGGCCCAGTCCCAGAAACCACAGCTAGTTCAGCTAGTTTAAGAATATCGACCATTGACATCTTAAGGCCGCAAGGAAACAATTGAAATCAAGTACTTAACCGGAAGGGCCCTGCCCATGCCAACGATGCGAAGCTTAATCCAACCCCCCCCCCCCCA